GTCTCCATGGGGTGAGTAGACTCAAAAGAACCAGTATGTGTTTCTGGGCCCTAAACATGTACATGAGGACTGGCAAGACTAGATACCTACACAGGAAATTCAAATGGAAATCTGAAAATCAAAGCAGAGGCAAGTCAGGTTATTATGTAGAACTGTGTGCCTTATGGGGGAAGGGGGTGGGGGAGGGGGGGATAAACTGGCTTTGGTGGAAATCTCTCCGCCCTTGCCCTCAACACGGGCACACCTGGAGTGTGGAAATATTCCAGACCTCACCTGCTGGCAAACCCGGTGCTGCTATCCTGCTTCTTACTCTGACATTGTGGATGGCATCAGATGAGGAACTCAGCTCAGGTGGGAAAAGAGGCCTGGGGCTGGGAGCTAAATGTAAGGTTAAAGCTTGGCTACTGGGAGTTAGAAATAAGGATCAGCAACGTGGACATCGCCTGTGAGCTGCCTCAGTCCCACCAAACCTAAGCTATCATGGAGACCCACTGGTGACACTTTACACATTGAGATTTCACAAGCACAGCACTGTGACAGGGCCTCAGAGTCTATAGCTCAGAGCGATTGAACATGGCTGAAGGTGACAGCCTTTCTTACTGTCCTCTCTGCCAAATCTAAATAAGAGCATTAACAGAACACAGGCAATTTTTAAACCTCGATACATGTCATGGATATGTAGGCAGGCATTGGAACTCCTAAGAAATATAATCCTCATTCATTTTCTTTGTTAAGAGACTGTATCATTATTTTATTCACTCTGAGTCTTTCCTCCCCATTCTTTGGCATCAACTGTCACTACTTCTTAACCATGTAGTAGAAGAAATATAACCAGGGTGCTTACTTGGGGAGGAGTAGATCCCAGCCCCAGAATGCACTTGAGCAGAAAGGCAACCATCCTTCTCTACCATCTTCACCGCTGACATGGGTGAGCGACAGGCCCATTTCCCCGGCCACTATGGAGGAACATTGCTTAGTGGCGTTCAAAGGGCTTCCCAGTGCCCTCCACAGATCTCCAGAGAAGCTGGCTGGACGGATTGCGCTGACCATTATAACCCATTATAACCAGGAGAGCTTAATTAAATGAGCGAGTGTGCAAACTATATAAACATATAACCCATTATAACCAGGAGAGCTTAATTAAATGAGCGAGTGTGCAAACTATATAAACACACCCGTCTTTATTCACAGCAGCTCTCCCACTCACTGCTATAAATACCTCACCGGCCCCTTTGCAGTTTGTGGACATGGATATGCTGCCATTTCCTCTGCTAATCTCCAATTGTTTGGGGGCCTGGCCAAGTGCCACAACGGAAAAGTTGCCATGCTCACTGCTTTTTTACATGCATGCCTTCCACAGAGTAACTATTACTTCCTGGAGGGCTGAGGGGCTAAATTTAACGTTAGCCATAGATTTACTCCTGGGGTCACATTTATACACACTCACCACTGCACATTAAAGCAACGGCGTGTTTTTATTCCCCCCTCCCCCATATATGTCTCTCTCAGGCAAAGGGAAAACTTTTGTTCCTCCTCTGCCTCCCCTGAGAACACAAACATGATAGAAAGTCACCTTACTGGAGAATTGCTGCTTCCCTGGATGACAGCACACTCCATTCTCAAATTAATTTTGCTCAGAATCTTTCCCATGTCGCACGGGGACCATTTCTTGCGCGTGGATCTCAGCCAGAGAAGCCCATGGCTTTTCAAAATGATAATTGCCTCATTACACCGGAGTGTCCGCATTTTAGTGGTGAAAGAAATGACTGTTTAGCTTGGAAGATTTTTTAGTCCAGAAAGATAAAAGCCCGGGTGAAAAGTGTGGGTGTGCGAGGGAGTCACGGTGGCCTTCAGAAGAGGAAGTGTTAATGTACAGAGGATGGAGACCAGCTGCTTTTCATCTCCACAGAGAGCAGGCCGGAGGAAATGGGCCCCCATGCTCTGGCGGACGCGGGGAAGCTGCTGCAGAAAGAGCGTCCTTCCTTGCAGGGCCAGCGCTGGAGGAAACAGAGCCAACAGGGTTTCTAGAAAGAAATTGGGAAATGGCTCTGAGGGAGGTATATGTTACTGTAAAATTCCCAAATTAGGAAAGTTTCTAAATACACCCTTAAATTACTTAATTTTCAGGGCACATTATCATCCTCCTCTTAACAAATCACTCTTACATGCTTACAAAACGTAAGCCGGTGTACTGAGAGGAGCTCAGCAGTCTCTTCATGTCTGGGTTTGGATTTCCATTTTGCAGTTTACTGACTTCATTACCGTGGTTTCGTTATCCAACCTCTCTGAGTTTAATGTCCTAATCTGTATACCAACATATCTAAAACATTTTTCATAGAGAAGTGGTTACCATCGAAGATAACTTATGTAAGTTTTCTAGTACAAAAACAGGTACATATTAAACATGTAATAATAACATTGGGTATCTGATATTATGATCTGCAAAGCCTACAAGTGCAAGGGGCTGTTCAGTACTTAATTACAATACGAATAGTTTGTTCCTGATTTATACTTTAGGAAACTGAAGCACCAGTAGGTTAAGCTAAGTTGCACTAGGGCATAAAGCCAATAACACATATGCTGAATTTAAAAGCTGGTGCTCTTCCTACCATACCACACTTTCTCATATTATATGAAACAAACGAAGGATATGGAGATTGCTGATTAGCATATGCACCTATTATTAAAATCTTTAATTTTCAAAACCCAAGCTCTCAGAGGGTCTATCAAGCCCGGTCCATGTGCATGATATGGAGCAGGGCATTAGGCGATATAGCAGTTAATTTGCTTGGAAGATCTCTCAAACATTAGGAAGTCTTTGCAATAAAGGGAGGTGCATTGAATTAATTTTAGATCTGCAAACTGATTTTTCATCAGTTTCTACTACCTCATCTATTTATCCAATCAATAACAATTTGTCCATGTCTGTGTTTCAGAAGATGTGTTTGGGACTAGGAATTTATGATTTAAGGATGCTCTTCTACTGAAAAAGAAAAATATCAACAAGTTCTTGCTATACAGTGAGGTAAGTACTATATTATGAATGACATAAAGCTTTCAAAAAAAATTTGGAAAAGTGTTTCAAAGGAACTAATAATTGAGCCAGGTCTTATGTGTGGTAGGAGAGCAAACATCTAGTCAAAGACCCTGGTAAAATGCTAAAAATTCCAAAAAAAATTACTGAATGTATAAAACATCTTAATATCTTATGTACAGTAATTCAGACTCGTGTTACCTTAAACGCAGTAAAATATTGGAACCAAGAATGAAGTTATAATGATGAGGACAAAGTTGAAGTATAATGTAAAAAATACCACCACTAATTCTTCACTAAAAAAATTATATCAGTAAACAGACTTTTCCATTTAGAATATTATTTGTTTTGGACACCAAGAAACTACTTCCTTATAGAGCTACAAATAAGGGAAGGAAACATGTAGATGTGGTTCCTGGGATAGCCAATCAGATATATCTGGACTATCGCATAGGATATTTCTACACATATCCTAGCCAGTTTTGCTCAATGGTCAGAGCATCAGCCTGCAGGCTAAAGGGTCTTGGGTTCAGTTCTAGTCAAGGGCATGTATCTTGGTTGTATCTCAATCCCTGGACCCAGTTAGGATGGGTGTGGGAGGCAAACGAACTATGTGTCTCTCTCACATTGAGGTTTCTCTTTCTGTCTCTTCTCCACCCTTCCTCTCTTTCTAAAAATCAATGGGAAAAAATCCTTGTGTGAGGATTAACAATAACAAGAGATGTTTATACACATTAGCTGGCCTGGATACTTTTAAGCAATCGTTTCTACACCAAATACACTAACTAACGTGGTATTTTGATGCCTTTAGAATACCCCAGTCAAGCTATCAGCCATTTATTTTACATTTACAAATTGCTGTTCTAAATAATTTTACCTTTTTATATATGTTCTGAGATATAAAAACAATAAAAGTCAAATATTAAATTGAAGGGCTTTAGTCAAATGCATGCCCCTTTAATATAATATTTAAATGTATTATATAGTAGAATGTGTATGAACATTAAGGGAATAGTTTGGCATTTTAGGTTTCTTGTTAATGGCCTATAACTGATATCTTTGAGATACTAATTTTGTCTTTTATTTGGACATTGCAAGAAAAAATAATTCTACAAGTTCTGAGCAAACCAGAGAGAATTATAGCAGCAAAAATCATCTTTATAAAGGGTCAAAAATTTAAATGCAAATACCGAGTTTGGTGACTGTTAAAGTGACTATGATGGTTAGCATCTTTACATGAATTTGGAAGGCATGTGCTTATATATGTAATGTTATTCATACTATATTTTATCAAGTACATATTGTGTTTGGATCAAAATACCATAAGGGAAACCTTAAGTTTCTACTATGTAGGACTACTCCCATAAAACCTATTACATATTTTATGTTACTAGATGTGGGGTTTTTTCTTTTCTTTTCTTTCTTTCTCTCTCTCTCTCTCTCTCTCTCTCTCTCTCTCTCTCTCTCTCTCTCTCTCTCTCTTCCCAACTGGTGTGATTTGTGGTAAATCCATTTTATCCTGTTCTTTCCATGCAGATTTCTTATTTTTCCTCTGATATCTCAGTAATTAATATTTCTTTTAAAAATCTTAAACTGTTTCAGTGGTTAATTTAATAAAGTTTATAATTTGATTTCAGAAAGCAAACATAATAAAATCATCATAAAGTCTTAAAATATTCTTGACTATCAATAATGTAAATATTTTTAGCATTCATAAAGTGTTCTATTTTTTAAAAGGCTCTATTAACAAGCTACCATTGTGATGATGTCTTTCTAATGGTTATCTTAAGAGTAAAGAAAAAGTCTTGGCATTTTATTATATGTAAAATATATAAAATATTACTTAATATTCACAAAAAACACTTCACTTTTTTTCTCATTAACAAAAGAAACAATTCTTTGTGTAGCAGTTTGGTACTAATCGTGAAGTAAGTAAAGTCCCTGGAAATAGTATACAAACATTAGATTTTAAGTCAAAAATGTTTATTGTAAAAAAGGACATTGAAAATTGTTTTTTAAAAAAGAGACATAATTTCACAAGTCTCAACATTAGCTATAGAAAACATCTCATTTTCATACAAAATTCATTCAATCATATAAAAATAAACACAAATTTACATTAACTCAGCAACTATACAATTAAGGCACTTGGAAAGGGTGTTGTATAGATTGCATTTGCTGTATGCATTTCAAATAGTTTAAGTACATTACTGAGTTTCTGAGAATCCTTTCTTGCACTTATTCCCATCTTTAATTAATTTTATAAAATCATTAAAAATTATCTGAAAAGTAAGACATGGATGAAGCATGCACCAGGAATGTTCAAAGCTAGTCTTGCCCTCCTCCCCAAGGCACATACTGTTTATTGGCAAAACAAACACAACAACAAAAACAAAAACACTTTTCATGCGGTCTCCTGTGTTTTGTTCTTGTCCTTTTTCTTCCTCTCTCCCCTAAAAAGACAGCTTAAAGCATTACAGGCGATCAAAAAAAAAAAAAAAAAAAGCTTTCGTTCAACAACTGTAACCAGACATTAGACATGTAATGAAGTAAACTTGGAACAGTTTATAAGGCACCTGAGATAGTGTCTGGCAGATTCTCTTCCTATAAGAAATCCTGTTACAAACCCTATGACAAAACAATACTGTTCTTTTCCGTTGAAATGATTTGGCAGCAATGTAAATCTTTGCATTCTTTCTTAGTCAGAAAAGATACAATGTGCTTTTTGCTTCACCTTTGAAGAGAAAGATCCTTGTCTTTTATTCTCTCTATCTAGCTGTCAGTGAATATATAGTACTTTTCAAACTTCACATGGAAAGGATTAACTTTAAACACATGGATTCCATGCTCTTGCAGCTTTTCGTGTGTGTGTGTGTGTGTGTGTGTGTGTGTGTGTGTGTGTGTGTGTCTATACATATTATTTGGTCGATACGCACAAGAGAAAATGCCTTTGGACTTTTCTTTATCATTTGGTCGGAGTGGAGAAATGCGTTCTGATCGAGTAAACATTGGTTGCGTCACTCAGTGTGCTACACAGCAGCCAGATTCCTCATGTTTGTGCAGAAGAGACATTCTGGAGAAGGTTTTGGAGCAGTTTTTGCACTGGTATTTCTTTACATCAGAGTGGGTCTGCAGGTGAGCCCTCAGATTGGATCTGTCTGCAAATGCTCTGTTGCAGTGCGGACAGGAAAAAGGCTTCTCCCCTGGGGTGGTGGTGGAGGGGGGAAAGAAAGACAGTCAGTGTTTTTAGAGGAAACGCACAGACAGACAACGTTCATAAATAATCACATTTTGCCAAAAGAAGCAGCAAAACTTGATTAAAATTTCCCATAATACATACTTATTAATATCTAACCCTTTAAGATCAATTTGAATGCTGCATTGAAAAATCACATTAATTACCTTGTTGCTGCTGCCAGTGTGTAGAAATAACTCATGTATTTTTAGGACTTTCACTTAATGAAAACTTTCTGCTTCAGCAGGTGAAGCGAATGTTTAGCTCCTCCCAACATTTCCCAACATCTCCTCTTTTCCCTCTTTCTGTATTATGACTAAGTCTGGATAAGTGCCTTGACTCCCTGCAGAATGTGCTAGGAATAAAATTTTTAAAAATCAGCAGCAAAAAAGAAAGCAACTGAAAGCAAATTCAGTTCTAATTACTGCAACTTGCTCTAGGGTGATATGTCTATATTACAGCAAAAAGATGACTAACAGAAAACTATAGGAGGAAAACCATCTCTCTATCCAATACTTTGAGATAGCAACATTTATATTTGCTGATTATTGGAAACTGTTTCACAGAACAAACATTCGAGTACCTCTTTCCTGATTTTCTAACTGATCTTTGAGACCAAACCTTCCGAATCTACTTTCCAAAGTCTCAGTCCCGTTTGCAGTCTCTGGAGCAGAGGCTGTTAAAAAAGAAACGAAGCAGTGTGTGCTCCAAGGACTCTTTGAGTCATCAGGAAGTAGCTATACATGACCATCCATCATTAAAAGCACTGTGTCACTACCCAATGCAAACCCTCATGCCAATCCCGAGCTTCAGTCTGTTAGAGAGCAACATTCCTGTCTAGGTTTTTCTCTTACCAGTGTGAGTCCGAATGTGTCCTTGCAGTAACCAGGGCCTGGAAAACGCCTTGCCACAGATCTTGCAGACACAAGGTAAGGTGTGGGTCCGAATGTGCATCTTAAGGGCGCCCAGGCTCACATATTCCTTGTCACAGTATTTACAGCTGAAGGATTTCCTGGACTGGGCATCACAGTGCAACTGCTTATGCTTGGCCAGCCCCGAAAAAGTTGAGTAGGTCTTGTTGCATAAATTGCACTGAAACTTTTCAGCTTCAATGGCATGGGGGTCTGAGAGCTTGGACTGCAGTCTTTCCTCTTCATCACTAATGGGGCTTTCTGAGCCACTGTGGTCCTTGGAGGAGGTGTCGGATGGAGAAGGGGGACTCACTCGACCCAAGGATGAGGCATATCCGGGAAGAGAAGAGAGGCCGCTGGGTAGCGGGGCGTGGAACGGGGCTGCCGTAGTCCACATGGTGATGGGGCTGTAGGCGCCGGAGCTGAGGATCTCTGGTTGTGGTATGACAGGCATGGGGTAGCTCTCATACAGATACGGGGAAATGATCACTAGGGGAAGAAACGGAGAGAAGAGGAGAGTAAGGTGAAGCATTAACCATACATCCACCGAGAAGCTACTTGGCAACAGGCATGGTGCTCTGTGATGAAGATTCCTTTTGCCTCCGCCCTGGCTGCTAGGTGGTGGTTACTGAGCTGCAGGCACAGCTCTGCCTCCTGCGCGGAGTGTGACAGGAGCCAGGCCAGTGCCTTCGCTGTCCTGGCCCCGGGGAGGAGGGAACACCTAGATTTTATTTTTAACGACACATAAAAGTTGTTTTTCATTTTGTACATGCGTTACTTGCAGGTGTATGACTCTAGGTACAAAGATGTGTATAAACCCAACTGCTTTCTAAAGGAAAGGCGCCTTATTACATGAAAAAAAAAAAAAAAAAGCAATACTTCAACAGCTACGTATTGTGTTACTCATCTTGCATATATTCATTATGCATGTACACACAAGCTCTGGAAAACGAAGCTGCAGAGAGTTGAATGAAGTTCTCCTTGTCAGTTAAACGTTTTAAAAGTTTTCAATTAAGATGTATCCTGGGTGATCAAAGCAATCTGAACTCTCTTTTAGGACACGACTTAAAAGGAAAACAATCTAGTATTTAGTTCTTTTGTAATAGTATTTGAGTTGTAATATCTATTTATATATTTTGGATATATATAGATATAATGTCTTTTTTTTTTAATTTCTCTCCCTCCCTCCCTTCTTCCTTCCCTCCCTCCCTCTCTCCCTTCCTTCCTTTTTATTATTATTATAATATATTATTTTTTCTTACCTGTGTGTGTGTCCAGTTCGCTGTAGTTGGGCTTTTTGGAGGCGTTGAAATGCTTCTTGACCAGGAAAGAGCGCGGCATCTTGCCGGCGGGTCTGGCGGGCGCCGGCGGATAACGGTCCGGCGGGAGGACGCGGCCGGTCCTAGAGCATCGTGGCCGGCGGCCGCTCAGGTGCGCGGAGGAGGAGGAGGGCGCCGCCGGGAGGCCGGGCTGGCGGGGACTGAGCCCGGGCTGCGGCCGGGTGGGTTTTTTCCTCTCTCCTGCCGGCGGCAGCCAATCGCCGCGCGCAGCTTCGGGTTTCAGCTCCTCCCTCTGGGACAGCTGTGAACAGAGGAAGAATCTGTTGTCAGACTGAATTATTCTGCTGCAAAATGGGCTGTGCTTAGGCATTTCAGTGCGGAGAGGGGAGGGAAAAGTGCTTAAGTATTTTCAAGAGAGGCGATTTCACTCCATTGGCGCCGCCGGTTCGTCGGATCTGTGATTTCTAAAAACAAACAAACAAACAAATAAATAAAAGGGGCGGGGGGGGGGGCTGGCTCCGGATGTCAGGTAGAACCAACGCACTGGGACCACACGTGAGGGGTCTGGGGGTCTGGGAGGGGCGCCTGCGGGGTCCAGCTCGGCTCCGGTGGGAAGAAAGCCTATATTTGGAAGTGCCATTTGGGGAGGTTCTGCCTGTGAGGAAGCAGACCAATGAGCTCTGGGCTTTTGCAAAAGGAAGGTGGAGGCAGGAACAAAAGCCCCCGGAGTGAGGAGGGCGCCTCCGTGGCGGGGCTCCCGGGGTGCAGACTGCCGGCTTCGGGGGCGCTGGTCCCGGGGCCAGGGAGGCGCCCGCCGGCCCCAGAGGCTCCGGGTCCGAGGCTGCGCTTCCCCCGGGAAAACGAAATAATCCTGACCCCACGTTAGCCGCGCCCCCACGTTAGCAGTTAGCCGTGCTGGCAGCAGAGTGCTCTTTAGCCCACGGGAGACCTGCTGATGGGAGAATTGGGGAAGGGCTCCGGGGCTGGAGGGGCGTGGGGGGCAAGGAACAATAGGAAAACTGTCCTTAGGAACCGTGAAGATTCCCACCAAAACCTGTGACAAGATTGTGTCTCTTCACATGTCACTGTCATTGCGGAGGGGGGGGGAGGGGGAGGTGAACGGGCCTTAGAGACAATTGTTTCACTTCCTATATATGTCTGCTCTTAAAGGGTGCTGTTTTCCTTAAAGCCATCCATATTCATCCGAGGAGCTGCTGGTTCCCTGGACTGTGCTGTTAAACAAAGGATGCATTATGAGCACTGCTTGGTGCAAGTGTGAAGAAGCGAGCCTGGTAACCAATGAAAAATACTTTTAACTTTATATACGGCATTAAATCTAAAAATATTAGAAATGGCTCATTGGAAACTTAATTGGAAGTAAAATGTTAACTGTGTTTTCAAGCATCTCTGTCCATTCCAGACTTTTCTCCCCGCCTTTTACTTTAAACAGTAAAGAAGAAACAAATTCGCGATAGGGCCGCTTCACCTTGTTTCTGACAGGTGTTGGGAGAGGGAGGAAAAGAGCGGGAAGAGGACCTGAGAGGAAAGGGCTTTGTTAGGATGCCTGGCTGCTTCCTCTCCGGTGGGAAGCCTAGCCTGGGTGCTAGGGGTGGGGTGCTCCTGGGTTTTCTGAGCTGTTTCAATGATCCCTTTGTTCTTCCAACAGTCACCAATTTAAATATTGGGGAAAGGAATTTGGATGGATCTTTATGTTTAGAAAAACAACAGTATTTGTAGGAGACAGGAAAATATGAATATGCATTAGATTCCTCCACAAACGGTCAACTGGAGTAGAATTTGGAGCACGTTTTCTGAGCTTGCTGCCTTCTCTGAGGGTTTGCTCAGACCTGGGCGCCTGGTTGATTGCAGCAGGAGTCCTCCTGGCCCTCGCCGCCACGTTTCCAGGAAAGGCACGCTTTGGTAGAGATATCCTGGAGAAAGCTCAAGCTGCCACGTGCTCTGGCTCCCTCCTCTCACCCTAGGCAGTCCGTTCGCCATGGTGGTGAGTGTTGTTTTGTTATTTACTTGTTGGTAGTTATAACACAAGAAAACCGGCTGAAGTGTGTATTTTTTTTAATCTATTTAAAATGTTTAACAGTGATTCACTCCTCTTAGAAAAGAGGAGCAAACCTGAATTTGGATGACAGGTGCGTTACTGAGCCAATGGCCCGCTGCCTGTCCAGGGAGGCTCAGCACAGGACACAGATCAGAGCCGGGAAATGTGCCCCACCCCCTGGGACGAGCGGACAGCGCTCAGGATCCAGCGTGAGGCATGTCATTACACGGGTCTGCGTGGTGACTAGTCACACGCAACCCTGCATGAGGTCTGGTCTGCTGTCAGGAGAGGCGGAGCCTGCGAGCTGATGGCGTGAGTCAGACAGGTGCTCTGCTCAGACACAGCAGAGAGCAGTTGGCACCAGGATGGTCTGAGGGAAGTGAAGCCCGCACTCAAAGGCATGCTGCAGGGGTGTGTGTGGGTGGGTGGGTGGGTGGGTGGGTGGGGGAGGAGGGTAAAATCATCTGGAAAAGCTGGCATTAACCACTGACTAAAAGTCTCTCTTGCCCAGGAACAAAAATCTTTGCTAAGACATCAACAAGACACCAGATTTACATGTTCCATTTGGGCCAAACCAACCCAAGTGGGCTCGGTAATGCAAGAAATTAGTCTTAGGCTGACACACTTAGGGTCACTGGAACAGAGGGGAAATGGGGCTTATCCTGAGATGTGACTGTGTACTCGGCCCAGCCTGGGTGAGGCTGGTGGGTGGTAAGGAAGGCTCCGTCCCTAGCCTCCTGACAGGTAAATGTGAGGAACGGAGAAACTAAAAAAGGAGGGGAAGTAGTGCCCCTGGGTACGGTCCCTGCGGCCTGGCTCCCAGAAGCACTTGGTTATCATGGGGGATTGAGGGGATTAAGGTATGACCCTCCCTATAGTAGAACCACCCTAGAGGGTCTTTTCTTTTACCTGTTTTCTGTGGGGTATCTGGGACATCAGGAGCCCATGCAATGTAATTCCTTAATTGTCATGCGTTTTATTAGGATGTGACTTGATGTGACTCATGTGCTAGTCTCTTATTTTCTCTGTTGTAAGAAGAACCTGACAAAGATAATTTGTGGAAAACTGTGTAAATTAAAGGTCTGGGGCCTGGGGGGAGGGCCAAACCCCCTCAGGCTCTCCTGTACTGGTGGGGTTTCTCCTGGACCCAGTCTTTTTCGTGAGAGACACAGTCTTGCCTTGCTAAGTAGGGAAATAAATTATATTCATGAGAGTTGAGAATGCAGCTTCGGTTTACTCACTTGCCCAGAGATTTGTGTACCTGTAAGTATTAGGGGAGGCTAAAAGCCACGCAAATGTTGACTGCTAAGTTTGGGACATGGAGTAGATCTAGCAGCAGAGAAGCCACGGTTGGCAGAGGCAGGAAATGCCATCCTGTGCGGTGCCCTGTCTCCTAACAGGCATGGCATCTCTTTCTGGTTTAGTTTGTGGCATGACCTGGAGTGGGCTGGGAAGAACGGCCTCCCTTGAATGATATGGAGTTACGGAATATTGTTAGTTTGACTGTGATGTCTGGAGAATACTAGAATGCATTACTGATTGTTAAACTGCATAGTAACAAAGTGTTTATTATATGTAACTTTGAGATTTGAATGACAATAAAGTGATATCATCTCAACGGTTTTTGTATATATTTATATTTGTATACAGGTGTGTATGTTTGTGTTTGTATTTGTATTCATAATTCTTAATTTAATTCAGTCTCAGACAAGGTTAACCAACCTTTGAAAGAGAAATAAATGTTTCCTTTTAGTACATGAGTATCTCTATCTATAAATTATACTTTAAACTTTTTCCTCATTTCTTTTAAGATGATTTAGAGGTAAATATTCCTCAGTATAAAAGGGAAAATAATCAGAGTGAGCATAGAATTCTGCTCATATATTTTGAACTTCATAACAAGGAGAACCCCATTTCTCTGGAAACATACGTGGAACTACATACACACCCACCATACATAAATGTATCTACTTAGTGGTGTTAACTGAGTTAAATGTGATCGCGTGTGTGCACGTGTGTGTGTGTGTGTGTGTGTGTGTGTGTGAGAATTGTAGTGAAATACAATAGCAAACAAATGATGTCAGGATGTCCCTCTGCTCTTTAGGAATGTCTATTATTTCCGGTGTGTTCCCAGAGCCATTTTCACCAGGCGAATAGTCACTAGCAGTGTGTATCTATCTGGAGTTAGCTCTCATACTGTTAACTCAATAAATACTGTCACACAGGATTGATAGATAAGATCACTTCAAAACCTTATTGAACATGGGAACAACATTTAATGAGATTCATTCTGTGACAAATGCTTGTGTTTAGAAATCACTAATATGCAGAACTGTATTCCTAGTTAAAGGTTTTATAATCTCACTTCCTGTCGTGTGGCTATAATATGGTTAACATCATGCAAGACAGAAGATATTCATCTCTTCGATGTTATATTTGCACCTTGTAGAAAATGTTGATGATCTTATCTATAAGATGAGCAAGAAAGACTTGAAAATGTTGAATTTGTAATTTATACAACAGCTCAGGCATATGTGGTTGCAAAGAGACATCTATCGGTCAGTTTTGGAAGACTCGCTTGCTTTTTCTGTAACATTTTAACAAGGTCTGCCACCTAGTGGAAAATGGTGGCAGACCAATTTGACTAGACACAGAGCATCCACCTGACCTCATTTTGTAGTTGCCCCAATTTCAGAACATTCTTTTAATCTTATAAATTTTAATTGACTCATAATTTAATTTTTAAATGATGTATTTGTGTTTGTAGAAATGCAGGTTATATTTATACAACAAATTATGTTGGATTTATAAGATAGGAGAGGAAGGGAAATTTATAATGTTCATCAATCTGCATAGTCAATGACTAAAAAGAAAGTAGGCAAAAATAGTAGCATTATATTTAAAACTTAATGATAACCTCATATGACTTATTCTCTATCCTATATAATAAAAGGCTAATATGCAAATTGACCAAATGGTGGAATGACGAGTCAGTAGGATGTGCACTGACCACCAGAAAGCATATGCTCAATGCATGAGCTGCCCCCTGGTGGTCAGTGT